ACCATCTTTAGGTGCCACATATTCGGTACAGTGTTTTCAGTGGAAGTTGGACCTTCATAGGTCTAAATACCCCCACCTACAGCATTTTTCAGATAAGGTTGCTCATTATGACATAAGAAGACTTTCTTTGCAGTGGCTGGTTGTTAGTACGCTGGTCAGATTCCGGCAGAGAATTAGGTGGAAGACTGAATGCCTCCTTCATGTTATTTAACTTTTCAATGGATAGTTTTCTAGCAGTTTCTGGACTATTCCATTCACTCTCAGGGTCTGAGAAGATATTTCTTGAATCACCACCATCAGCATTGCATTCGTCTGCTGATACATCAGAGGGATCGAGCTCATCTTCACCATAATATGGGTCATCTGTAATAGTACAGAAATAAATGAATTCATTGTGTGAGATTTGAGGATTTCATAGTGGATTTCTAGATTATGATCTTATAAAGATGGAGATGACACATTCCACCAGATGTTAGTGTCCGCCTATGGGATTACACAATATCACAGACAAATCTCATTTCATTCATGCCCTCCTGGAACTTTTGGTTCCACATACACTTAAGAATAATATCTCCTGTTAAGAAACTTAGTACAAGCCCACTAAGGTAGTAACACAAAAGCAAAAATGCCTCACAAGCTAACGAAGAAATATATTCAGGAGTGAATTTGATACTGACCTTCTTCTTGTATGACCTGCTGAGAAACCCATGATGAAGAATGGTCAATAGCGTGATCATTCCACTCATCATCAAATTCCAGCTGAATATTGTTTTCTCGTTCTTCTGGTGACAGCACGACACTGGAATCTGCATCTGTTACATCAACTATTTCTGTTACCTTAACCTGAAACATAAAATAAATAAACCAGATGCAGACATTGACTACAGCAGGAGCTTAATTTGTCCACTGCTGTTTGTTTGCTTGACAAGTGTTTAGTGCATAATTCATTATTGAACACAATGTCATCAAAATATTTCTCACATTTTCATCGCCTTTCTTTGTCTTGTCAATGGGCGTACTCACCCCATAACAGTGTCAGTACAGTTTATTTAAAGAAAATCCTGAGCAAAAATCTCGTCTCTATGACGAATTCCATACCTTGTTGTTCTCATCCATATAATAAAATGCCATCACAGTGTCATGGTGTGCCGTCTCCTGCAGAATGTGTTCAAAGGTGTCATTTTCCAATGGTGTCCCATGCTCAGCGTAATTCACTGTTAGGCTTGGACGTCTTGACAAAGTTGGTGGTAATTTCTGACCACAAGATGGTTCAGACTGATCTGCTGCACCAGTTCTAAAATGAAACATGAATAAATCAGATGAAAACAGCTTATATATGCATCAGATCTCAAAATAGCATCATACAGAGTCAATAGTACTTGTATACCTACTGTTACAGTATTCCAAATTTTTATCATGCATTCCCTAGGAACTTGTGGTATCTATACGAACATTCTACAGACAAAATTTTTACTAAAAGAATGGATTGACGATACAAAGAATCATCTGAGTGGCAGAAATGTCCTCATGGTCAACACATAGCAAATGTTTAGTAGCTGAAGTATAGTAAATTAAATTATTTTTAAATGTAGCCACTCACCTTTCATCAAGACTGAGAGTGAAATTAATATTCATCTTGTTCTTCACGGCAACTGGAATATCCTCAATACTCTCTATGTCATACTTGGCTGCAACAAACAAAACCAAATAATAAACAAAGTTTAAGATGTGCTATTTATGATCCAGATACTTTCAACAAAATCTATATAAATAAATGAATTAAGGACCGACACTCACTGCCTCCGAATTCAGTAATTGCAAGTTGACACCTGACCGTCGTATTCAGCTGCTGACGTTTCTTGTTCATTTTGTTGAGGAGGTCTGAGATTTGGTTTATGAGATACTGACTCAGCATCCATAGGTTGTTGCCCAGACACGGCGCGCTCGCTATGAATCTGCTCAAAAAAGTTATCAATATGAGCAGTCTATTTAATACATTTAAATTAAACTGCACTACTACAGAGTTATACTTTCATTATCAAGATAACATCTGATTTTGTAAATGCCATTTTGTCATCATTAACTTCATTATCATCCTTCTCTAAAATTGTACGAAATATAACAGTTTATCTTCCCTCATTTTTTATCATGCCATTTAGACCTACTAATAGGAGAAGAAACAATAATATTAATTTAAAATTATTCATTACCAGGACTTTTTCCATCGTCTGTTTTTTTAAAAATCTCGACGTTTCGGAGGCTTGTTCTGTCTCCGTCCGATGGAAAAAGTCCTGATTATGAATAATTTTAAGTGTAAACTACCGTCGTCAAAACCCTTTAGAATTGAATAATATTAATCTTGAATATAAAATGAAAATGGTAGTTTATGAAACCCAAATTTAAAATCAATGAGATAATAATTACAATAAATATATTAAATAAAAGAGAGATACATAATCATATAAAAGTTTGAAAAGCATAAAATTTCCCCTTTTTAAAAATATGCGCACACAATACACGTCCTCCTTGTCTGCTAACCCCTTCTAAAACAAAACTAGCAACAACAGAAACACAACATAAGCAGCAAATTTAAGAACGTAGTATCAGCAGAGGCATTACAGATTTAGTAAGAGTGAAAGGCGATGCGCCAGAATAACTGGTAAACAAATTTACTGCATCCCAAAGAACTGAAGCACATTTACATTACAGGAAGCACGAACACTTACATTTCCATTTTTAAATCTCATTATGACACAAAATATTGCGGGGAACACTTTTCTAGTTACCATCATGTAAAAATGTTTAATCTATTTGAATAGAACAAAGTCAAAATTATTTACATTGCCATGTCCTGCTTGTAGCTCTAGGATATAAAGCGCGTATGAAACGTTTACTTAGAAAGCGCACAGAACACTAAACTTTTTAAGAAGTTCATGAAGGCAACACAGAAACATGTACCACATCTGCAATGCCTTCTGCTTACCTGATTTTGTTATTCTTTGCATGCAGACTGTGAGCGTGGTCGCTATGGCGATTTGTCAGTCTTTTGAACGTGGCATTTCCCACCACTCGAAATTCATAACAGTGTGTCTGCACCGTGTTACCAACATAACTAACACCAGGAAAATGGAACTGCAATGCTTTTACAATATTATTGCACAATTCAAGCACCCCTCTTTTTTAAAGTTACTAACATATACTCGTAATAGAAATTTGTATATTCACTTACAGAATTTTTTCAATATCTGTACTTCTAAATGACCAGAGTCAATAATTAAAATTATGATCTCAAATTTTCTAAAACGTAATAGAAGTATGAGAGGGAGTGTGCCAGTAATTATGGAAGAATTTAGTTTTACTGTGTTATTAGAATCTTTAAGCCATCCATCTCACCAAAAATACCGTGTTATTAGTATCTTTAAGCCATCCATCTCACCAAAAACCTGCTCGTTCTATATTTCATGCAATCCAAATTGACTTTAAAATGTTGTCTTCTTTGCGCAACAAAGAATAAAATCAAAATGTTTAAGTGCGTACTTTGTGAATGTGGCATAGATAATTTCGGCAGACAGCGTATACGGCAAGCTGAGTACAGACAGAAGTTTCATTCCACGGTGTTTGAATATCCAGTTTACGAGTCCTTTGTTGGCAGAATCTATCGCTTCTTCGAATATGGTTATTATTGTGTCTGGCAGCTTTGAGAGCAGTGCTTCCTGAAACATTGAATATTATGTTAATTCTTTTATTTTCAAACTTGGCAAACAATTAAGATCCGAAGAAACTATTCACTCACATTTATAAAAAAATATTTTACAGGCTATAAGACACCCAGATCTTAGAGGGGAAAGAACCTCAGAGTCCACGCGGATTTTAAACATTTTTATGGAAATAAAATGTCCAGCACTCCAGAAAATATAGTTTTTCGCCTTTGCTGTCCAATCTCGAATGGAAATCAATATAACAGCCGACGGTACCAATACAGTGGCCTGTATACATTTACATAATATCGTCTCACTCCGTAAAATCAAAATTAAATAATGCGGGAGGAATAATTAACAGAAATAAATCAAGAAATTTGTTTATGAACATTGATGAGATGATAGCATTTTTAATAAACTGTCGTGAAGTTTCAGAAATGACTGAACGTCGATAAAATACGAATGTGGCCCCACGTCTTGAAGGGTTGAAAAAAAAACCCTGATTCAATTTTGTATTTTTGCTGCACTCACTTGTCTATGCAGTTCACATTCCTGACACTCCGGGTCAAACTCGAGGCTTTCGTCGAGGGTCTCCGACACAACGAACGTTGACTGGACGGCCAGACATCTCGTGCAGTTGATGAGATTATTTCTATGCAGGAACATAAGTGCATCATCGAATCCTTGTTTGCACATGTTAGACAACACCTGGAAAAGCACAGAATTCACATCTTAGAAACACAGCATTAGAAAAAAAGTCTTTATTAGATGCAAATAGGGAATTTGAACCCCCACACCGAAGCGCTGCGAGCTAGGGTTGAAAGTTTTGCTGCAATACCCACGCAATGTTAAAGTTAGGAATCCAGGCACAGACAACGCGACCACGGCTCACCGTAGACCAACAGCGGAAACCTCGAGTAAGACTTGGGCCAGTGGACATTAAGCCGGAGTAACTCGATTTAGATAATGCACCAACTCACGTGCAATTAGACGTTCAATGTGGTATTACATGAAGTGTAGTTTTATAAAGCGCGACCTTTGACAGTGCTTTATAACAAACCATAATAGACAGACTAATGAATTAATGTTTTTGCCACTGATGATGACCCCCTTGAGGTCGAATCACACGTGGCACAAAGTGTTATTTAATGTGTAAAGATTTTTGTTGTACGCATGATTTTATATGTGTTTTGTTATAACTGGACGAAAACTTTTTCTGTGTCCTGAACTCTCAGGACTTACGCCGGCACTCGCACTTAGTCTTGTTAACATTACGTTGAATATTCATCTCCTCACCTCTGGTTTTGGTGGAAACAATATCCCAACAAATCTGTAGATGTTGTGGCGAGACAGCTCGATACTCGTGTTTGAGACATTTATCTGCGAACAGAAAAACAAAACAAACAAACTGTTATTTTTTAAATTTAATATAATTTTCAATAATTTCTGGAATCTTTTGAAATAGGCTGCAAATATTACTTATTTTTTAATAAGTCTTTTATTTTATCTTAGTGAAATAATTAAGTTAGTGGATACAAAGAGCATGATTATTAATTATAAGATAAAAGTTTATACATATTTATTTTTTCTTCATTATAAGTGCCTGACAACAAATTCCCATCGATCATTCGATCTAAGATCGAGAGGCCCCACGTACTCTGAGGAAATGCATTTAACTTACGTGGAAAAGCTGAGATGACAAGTCACGAGGGCAGATATCGCTCTCTCCGCAGAAAGGGCTCACTGTAATAGTGTTTTCATCCAGCATTGGCAAATTATCACTAAATCCTCCGTCCATGTATCGTGTTCCATGAAACTTGGGTGGGAGAATTCCCGAGAAAACTGGAATGAAGGAGCTGGCCAGAAGAGCCTGGAAAGATAACACAACCCTTCAGTATCTTTTAACGGGTACAAATTATTCAAATTACAAACACGGTGGTCTAGCGGTTAGAACGCTGGCCTGGGGTCTCGGGTTCGATTCCCGGCGGTGCCCGAATTTATAACTTGTGTTGGGTAAGGCCGTGGTCTAGGCAACACGGAGTTTTCCTCCGTGGCATCCCAACAATTACTCCATTCACACACAGAAGAAGGCAATGGCAAACCACTTCTGGATCATCTGCCAAGAACGTATATGAACAGGTCCCAGTCCGAGAAAAGGATGGAAGGATCCTGTTCATGATATATGGACCTGTCGTCAGACAGAACACTAAATAAATAAAATAAATTAGATAATTAAAGTGCACGTCCCACGTACCTGAACAAGATCCTCTTTGCTACTGAACTGGGAAACTATAACATTTTTTCCGTCGTAAACTCGCGTCAGAGAAATGTGGAGTTTTCCGTTCACTCGTGTGTGGGCGTCATCAGGAAGCACCTGGAAGTGAATATGACAAAATACGCAATTAATCAAGCATTATCGACCTTCGTTTATCGGAATAGGTGCCACGTGGCTCCTGGAAGTTTGGCATTGTGCCACGCAAGACTTTAAAAAAAGCACGTGACCTAGAATTTTGAGCAGTAAATATCATGAAATCGCAGTTACCTTTTCTAATTGCACCAACAAAATATTGTGGATGTTAAACGACGGACTGAAGGGTCCGAGGGTTCTCTGTCGAGCTTCACCCACGACACGCAGGACATTGCTCAACATTTCACCTGAAAACACAAAAGTATGCGATTATAATACAAAATTGTAACAAATGATTTTGTTCCTGGCTACAAAATAAAATTGGGTGATTTCACAAAAATCAATGCTCATGAATATTTATGCGCCCCATCTCCGAAACGTCGTTTTACGTTTTATATTTTATTTACTAGACGATGGATAATATCCAAGAAAATTTTTATTAAAATGACTCTTCACCACCGTCAAGAACTTTTAGAGTTTAAAAACCCACAGAGTTTGCAAAAAAATAATTTGTAATCAGATTCTTACTTTAAAACTACAACCAATTATGTCAGCCTAGTAAATCAGTTCGTGTGCGTATAAACTGGTATATTATGGATGTCACTGCTGTGAATGTATCAATAAAATACCTAAAAAAAAGTTCTGTTCTTCAAAAGTCCAAGACGACAGACGCACAACCTTGTAATTTCATTGTCATGTTATTCATCTCCATCTCAAAAATTGCGTAATGATAAAGGTGAAGTCACCTCGAAGTTATTTGTTTCGTAACTGAGCATTTGTTACGTAGCACGTGTGAGGTAAGGAAGTGGCTTCCACTCCCTCATGCATATTCAGAAGGAAAACAGGAAAATAATAAATTCTAGTTGTACTCGTATCAGAATTAAATGAAAACGCGTGACAGCGGAGAGAATCAGACAAGACTAAAATATTAAGAAACTGTCACCAGAACAGAAAATCAACTTCAAATACCACGTAAAATTCTTCTACCCCACAAATAAACACGATCAAGTTCAATGTCAGTACGAGCTCAAAAGTCGTGTTACGAAACTAAGGAGCACTTGTAATTTGGTTAAGGCTGAGTTACTCGCGAAGTATAAAGTTCTGTGCAAGGTCATTCATTATGAGTGGTGACTGTACTATACGTCAGTCAGCTGATAACAGACCACACGCAGAAATAATGAAATGCATATATTAAATACGTAATGAGGAGATTTCTTACCTAAAATTACTGAAAAGAACTCCGTGAAATTTAATATTTTTACCTACAACGAAACTCAATTTAAGGCTTTGACCGGGATGTTCTTTTGTTAAATCTTATGTGGTACCGCCTGATTCGACTTCTAATGGTTAAGTGAAGTGTTTTCTTCGCGGTACGGTCTGGATTCGTAAATATTATGAAGACGAGCTTCGGCTTCAAAGGGTTAACCAGCTGATTTTCGTAATGGTGAGGTGTAGTGTTGTCTTCGCGGTACGGACTGAATTACTTTGTGGACGAGCCTCGTATATCGTACTGAATCTTTCAGCAGCTCAGATAATACAGCGTCGGATTATCAATAATGTTCAAAATGGTCAAACCCTACTTTATATAAATCGCAGAACAACTTTTCAAAATTACTTCCATCTGCACTGCACGGCGCTTGATTAAGGCT